AAAAACTCGGCTAATAGAACTAACTGATTTACCTAGTTACGGCTCTAGTAGTTTTAGACTTGGGACGGGGCCTGAGGCCGCCCTCCTTTAGTGGCGGAGGCTTAGCCTTGGCTCCAACCTAAACCTTCCCCAAACAAGTCGTGGATGGAGTCTCCACTTGTCCTTTTTTCCCTCCCTCTCCACTCTCCAGAGCCCCTTATCCTGAACTTGTCTCCTCGCCTATGATGGGCGCTCTGGTGGCCCCCGTAGTTACCATGGGCCGTTGTTGATGCTTTGCCGCCTTCAACTGTTTCTCCGTGTCTCCTGCTCCTAGCAGATACTGCTCACCAGCACACTTTCCCCCCGTCACCTGCTACTGCCGCTCATTATTACTAGTTGATGCCTCTGCTTCGTTGCTGGGCGTCGTTCATTCCTTTTCTTGTCTGACTATTCTTTTTTCTTTTGCTTCAATCAGAAAAAAGACTAACCCTCTTCGTTCCTTTTTTTTTATTTTTTATTTTTTTTAATCAATACATCACTTGTAATTACCATTCGCCTCTCTCTCTGTGCATCGCCCCCAGACCTCACCCCCGCCTCCCTTTCTTGCTACTCGTTGGGGCACTGTGTTCGTTCCTTAAATTACCATTGTTCCTTGACTGAGTGGCTCGTGGCTGGAACTTTTTCTGTTACTTGCTCTTTTCTTTCGCCCTAGGGAGTCTACCTAAACACAACCGGGAGAGAGGGAAAAAAAAAGATAAGGCTTCCTCAACAACTTTCGATTGCGCTTTCTCAACCTTAACAATCACCCTCAACTGCCATTGTCGTCCAAGAGCACAATCCTCTTGCGGAAGGCTCATGGTTGCGACGTAATTGCTGTTAGGGTTCTTTTTTCCGCGCACTGTACTAGCTTGTTTGCCGGGCTCGGGCAACACCAAGCTTTGTCTTTGTCTCAATCCCTTTTACGAGTTCTCGACCTCCTTTCTAGCTGTTCGGCACGAAGCTACGATTGGGTTACATCAATTGGCTGCTTGTCACTGGAGCCCTGGATCGTTTGTCCATTGTCGCCTACTTGTCCCGTTTTAGTTGAGAAGCCGTGACATTGAACGGCTCGTACTTTCACCATGCGGAAAGGCGTCTTGATCTTCCTCGTTGTCAACCTCCTAATTCTATCCTTCCTTGTTCGCAGTGTCTTCACCCTTCTATCATTGCTAGTGGAAGATGCTTCCGCCGATGCAATTCACCGAGCGGAGCTTCCCTCGCCAAATTCCAGTTTGATCGAGCAGCGGCCGCAAATCATCCCTAAGATCATTCATCAAACCTACAAGAACGAGACAATCCCTGAAGTGTGGAGGGAGGCGCAACAAAGTTGCATTGACTTGCATCCTGACTATGAGTATATTGTATGTGCAATCTCCCTTCCGATACCGAGCAATGGCGCATGCTAACACGCCCCTCTCCTTAGCTTTGGACGAACGAGAAGGCGCGCGAATTCATCGCACATGAATACCCGTGGTTCCTTGCTACCTTTGATGGTTACAAGTATCCTATCCAGCGAGCAGACTCAATCCGATACTTTGTCCTGGCCCATTATGGCGGCACATACATTGACCTTGATGACGTATGTTCACGACAGAGCTCTTAAGGGACATTAAACAAAAATAATCGTGCTAACTGAAGCATGTTAGGGCTGCAACCGTCGCTTAGACCCCCTCCTTTCTTACCCTGCTTGGGTACGTCGCACGGCTCCGACAGGCATCTCCAACGATGCGATGGGATCTGTTCCGCAGCACCCGTTCTTCCTTCGAGTGATTGAACTTCTACAGTCGTACGACCGTAGCTGGTTGCTTCCATACATCACGGTGATGTACTCCACCGGACCTCTGTTCCTTTCGGTAATCTGGAAGGAATATATGCAGGAGGCTATGGGCGAATCGTCGCGGGTTCGGATCCTGATGCAGGACGAGTACAACAGGTATTCGTGGAGCTTTTTCACCCACCACGTCGGCAATAGCTGGCACGGTAAAGACGCGCGGTTAATCTTCTGGATGGGACAGCATTGGATGTTCCTCACCGTATGCGGCTTTATCCTTGTCGGGTCCGTTGGCTTCTGCCTCTGGTGGGTTTATGGTCGACTGATTCTGTTGGGCTCGAAGTACCGTTATCGGTACACGAAGGTTCCAACCTTCATCTCTGTTTCCGGCCTATCCCCTACCCGCAGACCACGGCGCCCGACCCCTACATTGCTGCGCCGTGTCTCTTTCAAAGAGGACGAAGAAACAGGACCTATCACCGAAACCTCATACGAGCTCTATAGTCGTCGTGATTGAGCATGTCCGTTTTATATCTGCGTTATATTCGCGTTGTTCACATTGAAGCACCTTGAAACGACCTATACTATACACTCAAAGTACCTGTCCAGCGTTACTAGGTGGGGCACCACCCCCACCTACTGTTTTTCTCATTTCCTGCGTTTTGTCCGGAGTGCATGTATGGAGTTTTGGGATGGGGTTTGACCGGGGCGCTTTGAGCCACTCTTTCCTGCTTTTTTTTTTTTTCTTTTTCTTTCGCTTTTTCGGTGGCTTGTACATGATTTGGCCAGATGAGTGAGATTTGCACCCGAGAGGCAATCTACGACGCCGCCTACTTGTGTATCATCTGTCTTGATGTTTCGATTTACCATCTTGAAACCTGGTTTCTACCCTCTTCGTTTCTAACCTGTCTGTTTACCACATATTCTTTTTATCTCTTTCTTACCCTTCCACCCTTTCACCTTGTCTTACCTACACATAGACCTTTTTTATTTTATTTTTTTTGTATTTTTTTTCTCCGCGTTCAATTGGGGTAGACGGATATATTCTAGCTATTCAGTTCCTGACGCCTGCAGCTAGCTGGATCTTACTGAGATAAAATAATACGTGATGGGGTGTGCCAAATGAACGAATAAGAAAAGACCCTTTATTTTTGCATGGTTTGTGTAGCCCACAATGATAGACAATGAAGAATAGTACATTGACCATGATGCCTGGGAGGAGAATAGCGGCACTGCCGTAGTACTTGAGATGGATGTACTACTCCCACCTACTTTTCCACCGTCCCTCAAGACTAACTACTACTAGTAGTACTAGTAGTAGTACTGCGTAGTAAGCATATACTCCGTACGAACGACTCCGGGAGGTCCCCGAGACAGCCCCATTGTTTCTGGCGCTCTCTTTGGTCAATGGGCCTGAGCCAAGACAAAGAAGCTTTGAGACGTGTGTTTCAGCGTGGAAGTCGAGCTGCCAATCGCTGCCGACTTTGGACTCTTTCGGTATGCCTCTGCATTCAAGGCCCATGCGACCATCGGGATTTTTCACTGTGGTATCAACATTCCTGCCATCCCACTGGACCGGTGGAAGAATCCTTCGGTATGCTGCCCCTCCACCGTCAGGTATGTCCAGGTATAAAAGACTCCTAGATTCCCGTTAAGCATTATTCTCTCCCATCATCATCATCATCATCATCCTATCACTTCCTCTTTCGTTTTTCCTGAGGTTTGAGAACAATTTCTTTTTTTGTACGTGATATCAGTGCAGGCTCACGATATCCAACATCCAATCATTGAATATCTTGACACCATCTGTCTCTCTCGTATCCACATTGGTTCAACTCGTATCACGCCCCAGTAAGAGCCGTCATCATGAAGCCAGTTTCTTTTGCCAATACACTGTATCTTCTCCTGCCATTGCTGGCCAGTGCACTGCCAGCCCCGATCACAGGACGAGGGATCCATTCGGAGGGCACGAGCATCACGGCCCAGCAAATCATAGCCATCGCACCAAGTTCCGCGCAATCCTGCACAAGTCGCGCTGACAAGAGTGCTCCTACCGAGTGCGCCGATGCTGAACAAGTGGCCACGAATATTGCCAAGTCGTTTGAGAAGTACCAGGTCACGAGCCCTGCTGAGCAGGCGGCTGTGATTAGTTTGTTGGCCTTGGAGAGTGTCGAATTCCTCTATAATAGAAATAAAGTTCCTGGCGTAGCAGGACAAGGAAGTAAGTACACACCCAGTCAGTCCCTGCTGGGAAATGGGCGAAGTCACTGACATGGAATCCACGGTTAGCCCGGAATATGCAGTCACCGGCCTTCAACTCCAAATATGCAAAGTCACTGAACGTAGCAGTGTCCAGCGATGCGGCTCAAACCCTTGACAAGTTGGTGGAAAATCTGGAGTGGGATTTCGGCTCTGGAGCCTGGTTCCTGACCACGCAATGCTCGGCAGATGTGCGCAGTGCGTTGCATGCCGGCTCAGAGACGGGCTGGGAGCGCTATATCACCGAGTGTGTGCAGACTCAAGTTACCGATAAGCGGAAGGAATACTGGCAGAAAGCAGTGGAAGCGCTGGGTGTGCAGTCCTCTTGAGTCCGATTGATGGGGTGTCTTGAAAACTGCACTGCTGGCCAGTGTACTCAGAGCCTTCCCGCACTCCCAATTTCTCATGCTTTCCTTTCGCCCTTGGTTGTTACTTGGTAGGAGTCATTATTCATGGTCGTCAATGGATTCTATTTCTTCTTAAAACGTTTGCACCATCATAACTTCGTCTCCTGAGTATTGAAAAGAAATGGCATCTTGTAACAGAATTTGCCCTTGGCTTTGGTCATCAGAACTCAGAGCTTCTAGTGTAATTTACAGCACACCCTTGGTACTGACAATATCTCCTGCACCGACTTCTCCGGCCACCCTCCTGGTGCATGCTGTGCGAATAGCTACAGCCAAGGCTTTGAACGCACTCTCCGCGCGATGGTGGTCATTGTCACCGTAGGTGCAGCACACATGAAGAGTCACACCCGCCTCCTGGGCAAAGCTCTGCAAACCGTGCGTGATCATCTCCGTGCTCAGGTCGCCGATCTTTTCGCGACGGAAACCAAGATTGATCACAGCCCAGGGACGGCTGGAGATATCAATGACAGCCCACGAGAGGGCCTCGTCGAGAGGTGCATCGCCGCGACCGAAGCGGGCAATGGATTGACGGGCACCCAGGGCCTTGGTGAAGGCCGCTCCGAGAGCAAGGAAGGTGTCTTCGGTGGTGTGGTGGTCATCAACTATTGATTCATGAGTCACCGGGCTACCATAGCCATGCAATAATTCCGATACATACTGTACAGGTCTCCCTTGGCTCTGATGGCCAAACTCATGCCCGAATGCTTCGCGAGAGCGTGCAGCATATGGTCGAGGAAGCCAATTCCCGTGCTCACGGTGATCTGCTGTGTCGCGGTGAACTGCGTCGCATGGTAGGCATCTTTGAGAGGGACAATTCCGTGCTTCGCGGCTTCGGCCTCCTTAGGGTCTTCAGGGGCGGGGAAATGTTCGGATGGTTCAAAGGGAGGGAGGGCGCCTCCGTCCAAGGAGAGTGAGATCTGGATCTTAGTCTCGTTGGTGATCCTGGTGAGGGACGCTGTACGCTGAGGGAGGGGCATTGTGAAGGAGTGCTGATCGAGGACGGTGTTTGAAGTGTTAGTTCGATAGTTAGAGCAAGGATTCGAATGATTTGATCTCCTTTTTTTTTTTCTCTCTTTTCTTTTCTTTTCTAATCTTGTGCCTAGACCGAAAGCAAATAATGAATAATCATGAACCTGTGATTCGGCACGGCGCTCTTCTTTTCCTTGCAGTTTAATTACCTTCACCGATTCGGGGGGGGGGGGGAGTTTTTTTTTCTTGGGGCGGAGTAAGTCCGATGTACAGTATCCGTAATACGGGGCCGTATTCTGCGGTACCCGGAAGAACACTTGGTCCGGGTGGGGATCTGCGTCATTCCGCGGAGTATTTGCTCAGCATCATCCGTATCGTCCGATCTCTCAAGAAAAACGAAAAACCAGAATTCCCTCAACACGATTGCTAACTACTACTACACCAACACCTGCGGCAGGGAAACTACTAGTATTGCCCATAGATTTTGTGTTAAATATGCCTCCACCGTCGACTCACCGAAAAGATGTTGAACCCCCCGAGGAAATCACCTCGGAAGCTGTTCGAGGATTCTTGACAGGAGCGTTTCGAGTATGTGCTAGATCTTGAGTTACAACCTGGTCTCTTTCCTGCAGAGTCTGTTCGCTCTCCGAGCTTGGATTTCTACTACCGTGGTTATCCTGTGCTATGAATCTCTTGGGCCCAGGCTGTAATGCAATCCACTAACGGACTATCGCCCAGTTTGGCTCCGTCTCTATTCTAGCGCATATGATCATGATCCTCCCCCACCCTTTCAAGTTCTCTCCCTCCACAACATCGCCTGCACCGTCACAGCCTCAGGCACAACCCTCGCCCCGACCAGGTCCGTCCATCCTTTCGAAAGACTACCTCCGATCCAGGCTATTCTATCGCCCCCTGGAAGGTTTCTCGGAGTGGCTTTCTCCGGCTTCCCGGATCTACCGGGGCCTGACCCCCCAGTACAAGGTTTTTCTCCAGATTGCAGCCATGACTCTAGGAGGCTGTATCTGGGCTGAGAGGAGGGTGAACGACTATATCGATCTCATCCGGAAAACCAAGCGGGCGGAACGATTGGAGGCCCAGAGAGCGGCAAGATATGCGGAATAATGACGGTGCGCTTCCTTTTAACAGACGGAAAGAAAAAGGGATCTAGTCCCCTGGGAGTCAGCCTCATTGTCAAGCTTATCCAGAGGACTTCCGGGGTTCTAGCGGATATTGTATGAAGTTGGACTTCTTGTTTCTCCACAAGCTTCGATCGGTCAGACGGCTCCGGGGCACCGGTGTTGCCACTCAGCTGTGGATCACCATGAAGGACCGTGATCTGGGACGTTGGTGACACAGTCGCACAAATGACGCTCATTTGCGTCGACGACATGTTACATGAAGACCCAAGAAACTGTGGCGGAGTCGAGACAAGAGGATCTTCCGAAGTGTAGACTGCCGAATCGAACTCTTCTCCCGATTGTGAGTTTGATGAGCATCCGTCCGGATCGCCAAGAGACTATGTAATTGTATGCATTATTGGGCGGAACGTATAGCTTTGACTTTTTCCGTACCCACAGTGAACCGGAGCCGACCTCGATTGAAGAAATTAAAGTGGGGGTGCCAGGAAAGTTCAGAGGCAAAAGAAGTGTCAAGGCATAGATAGACAGAAAGGCCGAAATTTAAACGACCGTTGCACTAGGGAAACCACCTTCTCCCCGCTCCGTGGTATGTACGTACCGTACTCCGTGCATGGGTATTCGTACAACTGCTGCAGCCTCACTTGGCGGACGAGTCGAGAACAATGCAGGCAACTGGGGCGAGTGGAGCCTTAGTCGCGAAGGCTCCAGCACCGGCTCGTCGTGACGCGCTGGGGATCGGGCTTCTCGAAGACGTCTCAAGGCGGAGGAGGATCGCCTGAAGGGCTCCATATCTGGGGCGCGGTGAAACAGGAGAACGATCCAGAATTGAAATGAATGGGGGAGAATCAAGTAGTAAATACTAAATAAAAATAGATAGGAAGGGCTAAGTGAACGACGGAGTATCAGGGCAATGAGTTGAGGTACTAGTATAGTACGTATGGCATTTGTCTTGACTTAGGGTCTGGAATGGATTGGGCAATTAGGTAGCGTCGACAGGATGATTGAAATCGAAAAGACCTCTTGCATGGATCTCTATGTAGAGGGAGGATGACAGCTGCACCATTCATGGGTTGCTTGTCTTTTTCTCACCGTTTAATTGAATGTATCATATTGTTGTTTCTATTATGATCTGACTGTATGGGGATGTGGATGTGATTGGGTGATTCCCCTTTGGTCCCTCACATTCAACCTCAGGCTGAAAGTACTTTTTTATTTTCTTTTTTCTTTTTATGGATCCAATTTCCATCCCTTTTTTTTTTTTTTTTTTTCCCTTCCTGCTGTATCTTTTCTTTCCCCCCTGACTCCATCATTCTTTTTTATTTTTATTTTTTCTCTTAAGTGGAAGATCAATTTAATAGTAATCAATAATTTCAATTGACCTTAATTTCACTTTAGTTCCTTTTTT